TTGTAGACAGACTGTAGAATCTGAAATGGGGAAAGCAGGAAGCATGTGGAATATTAAAATGAACTCAAGATATCAGGATTTAAGTTTCAAATAAAATACACTTCTGACTCATTTGCTTCTTATAAGGACATTTCCAAAGAGTAACTGGTTGAAGTAAAACATTTAAACATAATAGAGGGATTTAGAAAGTGTTCATTAGAATCTTGCAGCATCCAGGATCTTTCCTTCATCTGAGAAAAGTATTTATAAGCCCCTATTCAACTCTTATTTCATGTTATAAAAAAGTTCACTAATGTCAGTGATAGCATCCTGAAAATCTATAAATGTAGATCAGAGATGCAATATGAAATTTCCTCATGGAAATGTGATTCTAAGAAAATACCTCCTAATTAATCAACCATAGGGGAAATTGCTTTTTCTAGGCAAGCTGTGTTTATTTCAAATCATTTCTCTCATTGATGTCCCCAATAATGTCACTATTACCTCATCAATATCCTGTCAGTATTAAAATTGTTTGATACCTCCTAAGTAAAGAGATACCTGCAGATATTTTTGCTTTAGTGCAAAGTCAATTTAATTAAGAAAACATTATTAAACACCTAATGCATACGAAACATTTCACTATGCACTGAGGAAGAAAGAAGCAAAGTTTGTACCAGATACAAAGTTGAGATAAGAAGTCCTTGCTCTCACGGGAGTGGAGGGGTGGATTGTATATACAAATTATTACAACATATGATAAATTCACAGGAGACGTCATAGGGATCTGTTGGGAATAAGCTGACCTGAGAAGCAGCTGAAAACATTTTTTTTTACTTTTAAATGGTGTTTAAGTTAAGGAAATCATTAACATGGAATTTTGTGAAATATATTTGGCCAATAATGATGCATATATATACAAATTCATAATAGACATATTATGAGATATCTCTAATATATGAGAGAGATTATATGGTATATATTTTATATTCATATGTATATGAATATATAGATACATATGCTTTTATTAGGCAATATTCACTCTGTTGCATTCTTTCACTTAAAAAATAATCTAAATTTCTCATACTAGTCATTAGTTCATCATGTTTCTCCTCTGCAAGTACCTCTGGGATTATATTTTAGAGTAGAATTTCCTTTGTCATCCATTAGAATGGCCTGATTAGAAGTTAGATTTGTAGCAATCAGATTATAAATAAATTCGTATTATATATAAATATAAATAAATAAATTTGAATTTATTGGGATCCATGGGCACAGAAACCTCTTCTTCATATCAGATTTTTTAAATGGGATTTCTGATGGGATATTTGTATAACTACAAATGGTCATTAAACAGGAAACAGAAGGTCCTAATGCAAAACAAGTTTAAAAGAATTCAGTTTGGTTTTTGTTTTTGAGAGAGATGGCACAAGTGAACAGAGTGATGGACATGGAGTCAGGAAAACCTGAGTTTAAACCCTGCTTTAGAAATTAAATAGCAGTTGTGACCCTGGAAAAGTCACTTAACTACTGTCAGCCTCAGTTCCCTTTCCTGTAAAAATGGGAATCATTTCTAGTAGACCTACTCCGTAGGATTGTTGTTAGAATCAGAGACAACACAAATGAAAAGCTTTGCAAATCTTAAAGCATTATATGCGTACGAGCTAGGAATATTGTTATGTTTTCTTGGAAAATATTTTCCCTTAGTATACGTATTTCAACAAGGTGTTATAATATGTAACACAAAGAAAAAAAATTGCAAGGTTCTTGTTACTTGATTTTGAGTGAAATCAAGGCCCAAGATGATCCCAAGACAACTCTAGTCTATAAAGGTCCTCCTTTCCAAAAGTGGATTAAATTCCTGGAACATAACTACCTTCCTATGTTAATGTGATATTAGAGCCAGCCAAAGGCTCAGGTTGGTCTGTTGGGAATGCTTCAAGTTGCAACCACACCCTCTGACTCTGGACATAATTCCAGGGCAAGCCAAGAGTGACAGGGTGGGTGCATCTTAGAAACAACAATTCTTTGGAGACTTTCCTTTTGGAAGCTTTTTAAGTAAAGAAATGCTCCCAAATGTTTGCTTGTCAGTTTCATGAATTGAAATTCTCTGCTCTAGCCATGCTGAAACTTAAGATAACAATTATTGAAACTTCTCAGGTTTAAGAAGGCTTTCTTCTTTTTGATGCTGGAATGGAATCTTTTTTTTTTTTGGTTAAAGCTCATGGCAAAACTCTTTTAGTTTAGACCGTGTTCATTATCTTTACGGCATCAATAAGAATTGGATTTTAAGGCTACAAATTTGGGCAAATCTTATAAAAGTATTGGGAAAGATTTTACCTCACATTTCTGGGATAATCACCAAAGCAGTATTTGCTCAAACACAACTGATTTGGCCAATCAGGGAAACAATTTCTAATCTTTAAGCTCTTCAAGATCCTTTCTTATCCTGTTTGTGGCTGAAGGAAATTAAACAGAAGGAGTCTGATTTCTTTCCATTGGTGTACTTTGAGAGTTTAGGTAAATTATCTGCTTTCCCTGTGAATCAACGTTCAAATTTGTACAGTGGGGAAATCAAAGCATATAGAATACACACACATGCACACACATATGCACACACACTTACATTTTGCAAAAGCAAATAAAGTAACAAAGGAACACCAAATGAAAAGGGACACTAATTTAAACCTAGAAGCATTGATTTATACATTGAATTCATCTTGACAATATTCTATACATTTTTTTCAAGAATAACATTTGAAAGGAGTTTTCACAACCAGCAGCAAAAAGCTTGATAGGCCCCCAAAAAAGTGTCCCTTTTTAAAAAAAGTGTCCTTTTAAAAAGAAATTTTTATAGTATTCAGCAACTTATTCCAGCATATAACAAGAGCCAAAGAAATGTAATTTCCTCCTGACATTTGAAGTGAATTTTTTTGGGTTTTACCTCAAAGACCATTCCAGTTCTGATACTTCCATGATTCTACCCACTTACTCTGTAATTTATCACATTAAAAATAGAGATCGTATCTTTAATTCTTAGGTGGCATTGGCTATTTCATTAACTTTGGCAACCACATTATTGTAAGTGACTAGAATAAAAAGAATTGAGCTTCAAATTTTCCAAGAGGCATGGACATATCTAAACAAACTGGGAAAACAGAAACTGAAGTGGCTTATTTGGAAACAGGCTTGGGTAGCTGATGAAACAGGTCAACTATAATTAATTAAGTAGTGCAATAAAATGGTTAAGCACTTTCATGACAACAACAAAAACACACTTCATAGATATTAATCAGTTTATTTATAGGTCCTTAGAGCTTCAAATTTGAATATTGAATTTTTAGTTGCTGAACAGCCACCTGCATTGTAAGATATTACATGAGGTGTAAAGGCAGTGCCAAGAGATTTTGGCAGGTTAATTTCCTAAGTCCACTAAAAAAAAAAAAAGAGCAACAACAAAAATCTTGACAATTGAAAATTTTGTATTCTCCCCCCCCCAATGGTTGTCAATATCTTGGTGTTGAGTTGCGTCCGAATCTTTATGAGGCCATTTAGGATTTTCTTGGCAAAGATGCTGGAGAGGTTTGCCATTTCCCTCTCCAGCTCATTTTACCGATGAGGAAACTGAGGCAAACAAGGTTGAATAACTTGTTTAGGGTCACACAGATAGTAAGTATCTGAGGCCATATTTGAACTTAGGATGTCTAGCACACTATCCACTGTGCCACCTAGTTGCCCTGGTTGCCAATATACAGGGGGAGAAACTATTTGATTCGATTTGATTTTTCAATTCCTTAGAATGTAGCAGCAGAAAGTCGGGGTGATTATAGTATCTTGTTTCCTTCAGGAAGCATTCTCCCAAACCTAGTTCCTCCCTCAAAGATATAGACCCAGTCCCTGCCCTTGTAATGTAAATTAGAAATATGCGTAGCATGCTTTTCAACTGGTCTACCTACTTCTGAGGCCAAGGTGGCCAAACGATGATTTAACTTCGGTCTGTGGGCTCGGAACATCAGAGGAATTCCACTTGAATCTCAGACAGGAGGCGAGAACAAGAACAATCGTGCTCCTTTTCAGCAAGTCTATTGGGAAACACTTGAGCCTTCTACTAAAACTCAACCTGAACCACCCTGATTTTTTTCCTAGAGGAACTCTGTAAGGAATGGCCTTATCTCCCTAACCCCCTAAAAAATGATGATTAATCCATAAATCCATTCAAGAAAAGCCCAATTCTAAGTGACACATTGACCACACCGGACAGGAAGCAATGAGCACTTGGCTGGGAGTAGCTACCTGAAGAGCGCAGGTGAGGAGGCAGCTCGAGGGAAGCCTCAAGAGAGGGAAGCGTTGGGGGGGGGGCGGGGAGGAGAACCCACACACTTCCCTTCTCGCTCTCCGGCGCCTGGAAATGCCAACCAATATTTTACAGGCATCCTCTCTGGTAAACAGGCAAAGTGAGAACTCGCCCAGCACCTTTAACTGCGTAATGGTTTTATTTTTCCAGGTATTAGAAGGGAAAGCAAAGATCTTATTTTCCCTCTTGGTCCTATTTTCGTCCCCGAAAGGCTCCTTCAGATGTAGGCAATGAGCAGAAGGTGACAGATTTCTGTATCTGGGGAACCTGCGTTCAGATAGCTATTCTGCCACTTCTGCCTGATCGACTTTGGACAAGCCCTTTCAATTATCTAAACTTCACTTTCTCCTTCTTTAAAAAGATGGGGTCGGAGTTTTTTAGCGGTTTTTTCAAAGAGAGGTCGGAAAACTCCTGGGAGTCCTCGAGGTTAAAACTGTATTCACAAATAGTGCTGACATTTTGATTTCCAATACAGTAAATAACGACAGATATAACTCACATAGCCAAAAATTCTTTGTAGGGTCGTCAATTTTCAGGAGTGCAAAGGGGTCCTGAGAACCACTGGATTACATTATCTCTAGTCTCTTCCAAGCCTAAATCCAACATTCTATAATCTAACTCCATTAGAAAGAGAGAAGAACCGAAGAGGCCAAGCAGAAGACCTTACCAATGGTGAGCAGCACAACGGAGATCTTCCAGAAGTAGCTGTCCATCTTGGGGGAGCGTGTCCACGCCTGTGCTTCCTGGATGAGAATGAATGGAGGAACTGGGACGTCTGGTCCGGGCTAGCTGGCCTGAGTAGAGTGACTCGCCGGCGAGTGACCTCGTGGCTGATCTTTTGGGGGCAGGCAGATAAGGTCGATCCTGAGTAGCGATGGGGCGGACTGGCTAGCTGAGGACTGGTGCGACGGACAGTCAGGCTGAGGTGTGCCTTACCCGGACGATGTGTGGGACAATGCAGCCGGTCCTGTCCGACGAGTGAGGTGGACCCGACCAGTGCCTTTCTTTTATAAGTCCAATGGGAGGGGCCTCGGTCCAGTGGATAAACTTCCCAAAGTGTCGTAACAGTTTTGGGGACAGTCGCTGTGCCAGATCGCGGGTTTGGGGGGGGAAGAGAGGAGTGGCCGAGGACACTGCCCTGGACACTGCCCTGGACACTGCCATGGCCAGGATGGAAGGAGGTTGCGCTCCTCCCTCTATTCTCGCCCACCTGGACCTGGCTAAGGCGAAAACAATCTGCTTCTCCCCTTGGGGTGTAGGTCCTTCTCTCCGGTTTAGGAATGAAGGGCAGGGACTTGGAAAAGCCCGGAATTCCGCCGCTAGTGAAGACGCAAAGGTCTGGGCTCCTTAGGGAAAGAGCAGTGACTTGGTGGGAGGAGCGGAAACAGGGGGCGGCCCCCGATGAATATCCAAGTCTTTTGTCTGGGCTGGCTGCTTTATTCCAGGGGTGGAGGGGGGTGTGTGTGTGTCACGCTTAGCAGAAGCTTGGAACAGTTAAAGGGGACTTCGACTACCCATGAAGGGAACGAGTTAAGTTCCCGAGAAAGAACATCTTTCCCTAGAATATATGCCCATTGCATGGTTTTAGGGGATGTGGATGTTTGTATGTGTGAGACCACCAAAAATAAATGCCCCACCTTGTTTGGGCTCGGTGGGGTTTCGATCAGCAAATCAGTCAGCCAAGGGCAATCTCTAGGAGGTTTTTTTTTTTTATCCTTTTCTATCTTTTGCTCCCTCTTCTAATCTAGGTGGTCCTTTATCATCTCCTAACTGCTCCCTGCATCCAGTTTTTCTCCCAACCCAATCTATCCTGCGTTCTGTTGCTAAATTAGCCTTCGGAGAAGTCCAGTTTTGCCATTTCATTTCTGTATTCAAAAACCTAGGTGGCACAGTAGATAAAGTCCCAGAATCAAGAGGACCTGAGTTCAAATTTGTTCTCAGACACTATCTGGGTGACCCTGACCAAGTCACTAAAACCTCTGTCTGCCTCAGTTTCCTCAACTGTAAAATGGAGATAATAAGAACACCTGTCTCACAGGATTGTTGTGAGAATCAAATGAGATAAAATTAGTAAAGCACAGAGCAGGCACTTTGTGTTTATTCCCCCTCCTTAGCTTGACATTTTATTTAGGATCACTCTCTTTTTCCAACATCAACTCCAGTATTCCTTAATACAAACTCTCCAGCATAAACTGGCACATTTACTCATTATACCTTGGCATTTTGCTTTGTTCATTCTCACCTTTGTGTCCTTGAATGCATTTCCCACTTTGACAAAAGATTTGGCAAATCTTACCATCCATCCTTCAAGGTCTGCTTTTAGCTTCATAAAGCAGCCCATGACTACCCCAGCTTACAATGATCCCTTCTTTCACTAAAATCTTTCCAAATGTATATACATATTATATACACACACACACACACACAAACACACACACATATGTGTGTATATATATAAGTATACATATACATATATTTGTATAAAAGTTTGGAAAAATAAAAATCCAATCATATGGTGTCATTTAATACTATTTAACTTTTCATTTGTATATATGTTGTTTTCCCATCTAAATGGTAAGTTCATGAGGGCAAGTACTCAACTTCATGTCTCTCAAAAGGGTGTGTATTGAATAAGTAAACTGATCAGTATTGATGATGCCTATTTCTTAGTTTCTTCTTTCCTCATCTCAGAAATTTCTTTTCACTTTCAACAACCTTACATTAAACAAAAACTGCCTTACGTTCTAAAGCTTAAGTCCTCAAACCACCATCTGGAACCCCGAAAACTGTATTCATCATCAAATTCTTACACTGGACTATGTTCTTTTGTGACATGAAACCGGAGAATAACAAATCGATTGAGGCATGTAATGGGTTAGAATATGATATAGGCAAAGGAAAACTGCTTAATGAATTGATGCTCTCTCTCTCTCTGTCTCTGTCTCCCTCTCTCTCTGTGCCTATCTGTCTGTCTCTGTGTGTGTGTGTGTGGGGGGGTGTATGTGTGTTTGTGTATGTCTGTCTGTCTCTGTCTCTCTCTCTAGAGAGAGCCAACCTTGGAGCCAGGTAGAATGTAGTTTAAGTCCTTCCCCTGACATATTCTGGCTGTGTGACTACAGGCAGGTCTCTTAACTTCTCAGTCTCCCACCACCACCAGGCAGTTCTCCAAAACCATAAATTGCAGAGAAGGTGCCTATTTGCACTGGTAAAGGAACTCCCTACATACCAATAAAATCACCCGATCTAGGTTTTTTGTTTTTTTTTTAAAGAAAGCTAGGTCTCTCTTAGTTTGTGAAATTAGACAAAAAATTCTACTGCTGCCTTATCATGACTTTTGGTACTATATATTTCAAAAAGCAGGATAAATAGCCATGAACAAAAATGTTTGAAAAAAAGGATACAGACTATGAAAAGTATAGTGTGTCTGAGGTGAATCTGTCCTTAGATTTCAGTGTGAAATCTGTCAAGTCTTTACAAGCAGTGACAAGAAGGAAAAATGCATTCAATTTGAATATATTTTAGTTAAGCTAACCCAGAGCCGGGCTGTATGTTTAAGAGAAAGATGATACAGGGGAGGAAATGAGGAGAACGGGTTCAAGGCACAACTAGTCAGCGTTATAGTATAGATTTGGAGAAAAGAATTATTTCATCCTTGGTTAAGCCTATAAACATAGATCTTATCATCTGTTTCAAAAAAAAATTCCAACCTTGATTCCAAAATTTTCCGTAGCAGAGTCTGATTTCATATGGTGTGAATGCACATTTCTTTTTTGAGCTCTATGTTTACTCAATCTTTTAGCCATGAGCTTTTACAAATGGCTTCTTCATGACACATTTAGAAGCTCTTTGGCCCTTGACTGCACTAGAATTACATATTATTTATTCCTTTGAGAGTTTTTTCCCCTCTCAAACCAAGAACTATATATAAATCATGGATTTGTATCCAAGTACATGTATAGGCAATATCATCTTGGCCAATCTTGAAGAACACAAAACCCATTTAAAGAAATGATTGTGTCAGAATTTTGGAGATTCAAGTTATAAGAAAGGTGAGTTTTGGGAGGGACCTTAAGATCATCTCAGGGATCCTCAACTTTTTTGTGTCATGGACCCCTTTGGTAATCTGGTGAATCCCATGGATTTCTTCTTTTAAAAAAAAGCCAGCCTGTACTCTCTCTGGTAGGTGAAATTAGACATAAAATTCTGCTGCTACTTCATCATGGTTTTGGTACTGTATTTCAAAAAAGCAGGATAAATAGCCATGAGCAAAAATGTTTGGGAAAAGGATACAGACTGTAAAATGAGTGCTGTATCTGAGCTCTGAGTATGCCCTGAGATTTCAATGTGACGTATTCTTAGCTCTTCTTAGAATAATGTTTTTAAATGAATAATATAAAATAAAATACATAAGACTAGAAAGCAAAACAATTATATCGAAATAAGGACATTGTTGCTGGGGTTTTTTTTCATAGATGTTCACAGACTCTCTGAAATTTATGCATGGGCTCCCTGAGAGTCTGTGGACTCCAAGTTAGGAACTCCTGATCTAGTTCAACCCTATTATTTCACAAATGAGATTAAAACCAAGAGATTTTATTTGACTTGTTCAAGGTCACACGGTGTTAGAACTAAGACCATAAGTAACAAGTATACAAATAGCCGCATTTCCCATTCAAACACCCATAACCCCAAACAAAAAAAGATTACTCTAGCAGATATTACGTTTCTACTTTCCAAGGCCCATTCAATCTTTTGGCGGTCCATCAAGCTAGGGTCAGTTATATCTGGAACTTGGAATGCCCCCCCCAAAAGCTATTTTTCAATAAGAAATAAGTATACTTCACAAGGACTGCTGGACTTAACCCTGCTAATGAATTTGAATTTAAATCACGAGATGATTGTGAAGAGTTGTTAGTTGGTTCTTGAGATCAAAGGAAATAACGTATGTAAAGCACTTTGAAATCTTAAAGTGCTACATAAAGGCAAGTTATAATAATATACATAATTATTATGATTATATTTATTATTGCTATTACTGCATCCCTCTAAGATAAATAGATTAACATTGGATTCCATTGTTATAACTTGAGTTTTGAAAATTTTGGTATCTTGCCCAAAATCAAGATTCTAAGGATCAAGATCAGATTCTAAGGACCATGACAATGAGGGAGAGAGTCATTGGGAAGATTTTCTTCAAAGTCATCGGAAAGATTTGGTTTCAAGTCCACCTCTGGCACATTCTAGCTGTGTGACTACCAGTAGGCAAGGCACTTCATCTCTCAGTGCTCTAAGTAGCTCCCTAAGCCTTTAAGTTGTAGAGCGAGTACTGTTCTTCATTGGAAGACAGAGTTACTTCACCTGGGGAGTTCCCTAAAGCAATAAAGTCGCAGGTCCTGTCTCTCCATCCTTGTACTCTGACTATCTTGAGCTGTTAAACACTACCTAGTATCATCAATCACCTTTTGCCTGTAACCTTTCCTTTAAAACAAAACAAGACAAAACAACTTAAGAGACTTTGATGATCTCTAGGGGGAATTCATACGTTTGATTTCTATTTCACGCAACACTTGAAAATGACTGAATAAATTGTGGTAAATAAATGTGAGGAAATTGATGATTTAAACAAGAAATAGAAGGACATGAACTAATGCATTGTGAAGTCAATAGAGCCAGAGCAATGTATACTATGACATCAAGATTAGAAAAGGAACAATTTTGAAGAATTTTATAAAATGATGAAGAGTGAAATAAGCAATTTATATAGTACCAGTAACACTGTAAAGATAAATAACTTTGAAGGCTGTAAGAACTACAATCAATATGCCGTGACCAGTCATGATTTCAGAGGACAGAGATAAAACACATTATGCATTACAGATAACTGATGGATTTAGGATACAGAATGAAACATATATACTTCTGCATAACTTATTTTCTTAACTATGCATTTTTGTTATGACAC